GTGGAGAGCCATGATTAGTCTCTTTTTCATTATTTATTATATTTCCCTTCTCTTATTTTTGTGATGTTTAATTAAGCAGAGCAACAAAATGCAAGAAGTTGTGGAGAGCCATGATTAGTCTCTTTTTCATTATTTATTATATTTCCCTTCTCTTATTTTTGTGATGTTTAATTAAGTGAGAAACAAATGCAAGAAGTTGTGGAGAGCCATGATTAGTCTCTTTTTCATTATTTATTATATTTCCCTTCTCTTATTTTTGTGATGTTTAATTAAGCAGAGCAACAAAATGCAAGAAGTTGTGGAGAGCCATGATTAGTCTCTTTTTATTTATTATATTTCCCTTCTCTTATTTTTGTGATGTTTAATTAAGCAGAGCAACAAAATGCAAGAAGTTGTGGAGAGCCATGTTTGATCTCTTTTTTCATTGTTTAGTATATTTCCCTTCTCTTATTTTCGTGATGTTTAATTAAGCTGAGCAAAAAAATACAAGAAGTTGTGGAGAGCCATAATTGATCTCTTTTTTTTCATTGTTTAGTATATTTCCCTTCTCTTATTCTTATGATATTTAATTAAGCAGAACAACAACATGCAAGAAGCTGTAGAGAGCCATGATTAGTCTCATCTTTCATTGTTTACTATATTTCCCTTCTGTTATTTTTTGATGTTTAATTAACCAGAGTTGAATGTCATCAAAGGTTAACATTGATCTTGGAGATTATTTTAACTTAAGTAGCTTTTTACTCTTTCTCTAACTCCAAGATAATGAATAGGAATAATACTTTGTATCCCATAGTGAACCGATTTGTCTTACAGTTCTTTCTAAATCTTATGCCAAGAATCAGTTGTCTTTTCATATCTTCCTGTCACTTAGAATTAATGTTTTCTTTCATAAATCCTTTATTATTCAGCATACAGCTTGATGTCTGTACACTTGTATTTGTCTATCAACTGTCTCTTTTTGCATCCTATGAAAGCTCCAGCCAGTAAGATGATTTTTAAAACTAACTCTCAACTTCAAAATCGCAATATGTTTTATACAGTGGTTTCCCACTAATCTGAAGTTTTATTTTCTGTGACTTCAACTCCCCCTTGAAATTGACCCAGGAAATAAAGTTTCTTAAGTTGTACTTGATAATCAACCCAAAACATGAGAATGCTGAGACTAGCAATTTGCTTCCATTTACAATTTACAATCCCTCCTTTTAATTTTAAAAATGCCAGGATGGTTAAATTTGTTCTTCATAAATCATCTACAAGAATTATTGAATCAGCTATGGTATAATGATTGAATCTGTTTAAACAATAGAGTGATGGATAGCAGCTCGAATTGAGGAATCGGAGAGCTGAGTTTGAATTCCAGTCAAATCTATTACATTCACTTATGTGCTAATATCCTTAGGAAAGGTATGAATCCTCTTCTTCTCCCCCAGTTATGGGTAAATAGCAGCACAGACTGAGGTCTATAGCCTTGGATGGCAACTGGTCTACCGCAGAAAGAAATGGCAACCTACTGCGGGAAAAAATCTGCTTCGTCAGTCATGTATCAAAAGATACATGATTGCCTAAGCGTGTATCGTGCATGGCACATAACTGAATAAAAATGGTAAATTTCCATTTACAATCTCTCCTTTTAGTTTTAAAAATACCAAGATGCTTAAATTTGTTCATCATAAATCATCTAGAAGAATTATTGAATTAGCCATGATATACATTATTCAGACTATTGTCCTCATCTTTGTCACCATATTTATTACAACATTTCGTTCGTTGTATGCTCCGGCCTTCTTCAGATAGGTAGAATGTCAAACTGAACCCTTTATTTCGCTCACTGGGGTAGACTGTTCTAGTTCCACATGCCATGTTTAATGGATGTCAATTATCAGTTATCTCCTGTTAATTCCCATCTGAAAGTTCTCCACTGCCTTAACCGGGTATTGAACTCACACTCTTTGGGTCCTATCACTGGATCTAACTAATGCCTTTATCCACTGTGCCATGTGTCCTCTAGGTGAAATAAAGGGTTCAGTTCGACATTCCAACTACCTGAAGAATGCCTGGGTGTACAACGGCCGAAATGTTGTAATAAATATGGCAACAAAGATGAGGACAATAGTCCGAATAATGTAAATAATGTACATAATACCTCATCTCAGAAATATAGACAGATACTGATGGGCTGAAACGTTGTAATAAATATGGCGACAAAGATGAGGACAATAGTCCGTTAATGTAAATAATGTACATAATACCTCATCTCAGAAATATAGACAGATACTGATGGGCTGAAACGTTGCAATAAATATGGCGACAAAGATGAGGACAATAGTCCGAATAATGTAAATAATATACATAATAGCTCATCTCAGAAATATAGACAGATAGCCATAATATAATGATTTTGTTTGATTAATCAAAATGCTCAAAATTCTAGAAACTGGGCAATGATGCAAAAAAATGGTTGGGAACCTCTGGTTTAGAGTGTGTCACCTGATCCTGATCTCCATATAATTAAAGAAAATCAAAATATTCCAAAACCATATCATGAGTTTTATGACAAACCATTAACTCTCCAAACACACACAAATTAAGGAACTTCTGCAAGTCACAGGGCTAACTTCTATTATATTTATCATTAAAAGTAAGGTTCTGAAACTTTATGGCCACATCAAACAAAATGTGGACTAAGGAAAATTTATCTAGAAGGGATGGTAAGCAGAATAAGGAGTAGGGGGCCACCAACTTGAATGATGGCATTACAATGTACAAGCATGGACAAACCTTGACTTAAAAACACTGAACACAGCCACCAATGATGACCAGTTGTTGTGACAAATATCTCATGTTTGTTCGCAATCTACCGCAGAGGAGAAAGCGATCAATGAATAACAGCCAAGAGGATTGCATAGTACACAACAAGAAGAAGTAAATAAGCATGTTGACTAAATATTGCTTATCAAATTGAGTGACCATTGTCATTGCCATTTTTTTTTTTTATTATTTTTTTTTTTTTGATAGGGATTTTTTTCTCTCTGGCAATAAGTCTGCACTCACTAAATGATGAAAGATGATGTACGTGTTACTATTATTGATTACCGAAATATCTTAGACAAACATATTTCTTAAGAGACTCAATATCCTTGCATTCATGAAAGAAATTCTCAGGAATAAAATATTTTGACAGACATTTCCAAAGAGTCAATTTCAAGATCATTCTGACTATACTGTTTCCGGGATGTGTGTATTTCGTTGAAATGTACACAACCCTTAGACAGTTAGCATAAACTCTCATCGACAATCAAGACTCTGAGACATGGTATGTTTTAGATGCAGGTTTATTGACAGTCGACAAAGGTAAAACTGAAAGGAATAAAAAACACGTTTCTTCAGAAACACATAGAAACAAAATGAAGTTGTGGAATTACTAACACCTTAAAGATAGTTGTAGGTATGAGAAGCTAACAGAAAAGAAAGCATTTGGGCATAAAAAAAAAACTCAAAGAAAGAAAAGGAATACAATTTAGGCTGAGTAACAGTCGAATTCCAAGAGGATAGATGGAGGTTCCACACGTGGTGAGAAGGTAAACAAAGTTCGTTATAGGAAGGAAATGATACTAAAAAATAATGCTTGCATTAAATAATTCCATAATAAGAAGGAAGAAAGGCGATAGTTCTGACCGGAGATGTCCAAGAATGACGAGATATTTAAAGGATGAAAACTATGCCATGCGGCCCAGCTGAGGGCAGCTAAACTAGATAGGGGCTGAGCACCGGAAAACTTCAACTGGTGTAGGGCCAGAAAGAAGCCCCCAAGCTAAAGGGGCCCATAAAGGGAGATGAGTGCTAGTCAGTCTATTGTACACTGAACAGAACACTGACAGTGATAAAGAATTTGCTTTCATTTTTGTAATTCCTCTGTCGATGAAATGCACGCTTGGGCAATCATGCCTCTTTTTGATTCATGATAGACTTTACAGAAGAATTCCTGCAGTAGACTTCATTCACTTTCAGTGGTAGATTGGATGCCAACTATGGCTATAGCACCAAGTCTGTTCTGCTATTTAATCCATAACTGAGGGGAGAATATATGGATTCATACCTTCTCCAAGGGTATTTGTGCGTAAGTGAATGGAACAAGCTCAAATGAAATTTGATTTGTTATTTTTTTTACAGCTTATCAACCTTTTTAAGGTTATTTAAAGCTGAAACATATTTTTGGACTATAAGAATTTTTTTGGAGATAGTAATGATTTTCTGATGCAAGTCTTACTATTTAATCCATGGCTGGGAGGAGACTAGGCAGATTCATACCTTTCCTAAGGGCATTTGTATGTAAGTGAATGTAAACCTGACTGGAATTCAAACTCGGCTCTCTCTTTTCTCATTCTGAGTTGCTATCCATTACACCACCCACACATCCAAGCTACCTGGTATTCCCAAGCAGTCACCCATTTAGTTACTGACTAGGTTCCTGAAATTTGAACTTGGTTCTCAAATTTTTTTTTTTTTTTTATATTCACTTATGCGCAAATACTCTTGATAAAAATATAAACCCACCTCTTCCCCTCAGCTATGGGTTAATTAGTAAGACTTGTATTGCTAAATCATTATTATCGCCAAAAAAAGAATTCTTACCGTCTAAAAATATTCTCTGGCTTTAAATAACCTGCAAGGGTTGATAAGCAGTAGAAAACTAAATCAATGAAAAACAGAAACACATTTGTAAGATAAAATGCAGTTGTCTGCCCAAAGGCAGTTGACAGATACTACACTGTTATCCTCAGCAGTAAAGCATAACAGATTAATAATGATTTTCTATTTCCTCTCGCAGAATACAATATTGCTTTTCTTAACAAATCATGAAAAACTAACACATAATATTGCAATTGAAAGATGGATTTCATTTTGCGCTCTTAAATTTATTTTGTTTTTCTTTATTTCCAGTTAATATCTTATTTAGATTGATTCTGATGTTTTCTTACATTTGCATTTATTGTTTTCAGTTTACAAAGCACAAGGTTTACAGGCAGCAGATATTGGTGGCAAAAGCGACCCATTTTGTGTTGTGGAATTGGTCAATGCCCGTTTACAAACACAGACCGAATATAAGAACTTGAATCCACAATGGAACAAAATCTTCACTTTGTAAGTATTCATTTATTTCTAGCAGTTAGATTTTTTTTTCCAGAGGAGCATTTTAAAACAATCATCATCAGATCTGTTTCAACTTGAAAGTGCCAAATTAGTGTTATAAACACACATATAGTAGCATGGGAGAACAAACAACAGTACTACTGGAGATGCGGAAAGAAAAAATAACTAAATTGTTGATATATAGTTCTTTAGTTGCTGTTACAGTGGACATGTAAGGAAGGCAATTTTGAAGGGAAGTGAGACTTAGTAAGACCTGGAGTTGATGGATTTGTTGGGTCAATTGAGTGACGTCACAGTGGTGATATCAAGAGAAGTTTGGAGTGAACCTGCAAATCTAACTTAGCCTATAGAGAGTACATGAGTGGAATGTCTGTATGTGAGCTATCTGTGGTTGTTTGAAGGAGGGTGGGTCACAAGCGAATATATTTGACCGAAGTTCCAGTAGTGATGTTGAGAGCCCACTGTGCAGAATGACAGCCTGTTGACCGTGTTCTGAGTCAATCGTTTATGACTGGCTTTCTCAAAGGCAAATGTAGTGGCTCCTGAGCTTATCTTTCTTTTCTTTGTCAGCACCATTTGTGATTGGCTACTTCAGTCATCAGTAGGACACAACAGGCAAAGTTGTCAAGATGCTAACTAACCATCAATATTGGAACAGGGTGGATGGGTCATTTGGTTTGGTTTATTTTGTTTTATGCCATATCAACCTCAATGGGTTATCTAATGCCAACAAGATTTTGGGGATAGATTCATATGAATAGAATATGTATTCTTTAGATTGGTTTGGTCTATTTTGTTTTATGGCATATCAACCTCAGTGGGTTATTTAATACTGACAAATTTTTTTATTGCTGGTAAAATTTTGTTTTGTCAAAAATCTGTTTCTGGTAATATTTTTCCTTCAAAATTGTATTGCTGGTAATAATTTTTTCCAAAAAAGTATTGCTGGTAATAGTTAACTATTTGCCCATAGCTGGGACCCTAACAGGTGCTACCACTCCAGGTCAGGGTGGACCTACAAATACCAGTGATTGAGGTGGTTGCATGCTCCTCAAAACCTCCTGATCAGAGGCCTTGCTGCTGGACGTAGTTTATCATCTTACCCAGGATGTGGATGTAGTTTAACTTCTTACCCAGGACGAGGGTGGATGAGTCAGGTAGAATCACCTTATAGAATCGCCGATTCCTCAGGAAGCTTGAGGCACCCACCATCCCTACCCCTATCCCTAGTGCTCTGCCTGACCCCCTAAACCAATGGTCAGGGATGCTCATGAGCCTGATATGCATGTCCCACATACCAAAGAGAGTGAAATTACATTGCACAAGTACCCAGCAACACCAAGCATCACGCAGCCACCAAAAATTGCCCAGGCATTGTCCAGGTTACTCCCATACAATCAGCCAGGCCAGAAGGAACTCATGAAAATGCTTCATCTAAAAAATTCAGTAAATAGAAGACTATTATGTCTACTACTACTACTACTACACAGGCAACAAAAATAAGATGTAGAGTTAAATGAATAATAATGACAGTGGTCCATTTAAGTTCAGACAAGACTATTATATCTACTACTACTACTACTACTACAACACAGGCAACAAAAATAAGATGTAGAGTTAAATAAATAATAATGAAAGTGGTCCATTTAAGTTCAGACAAGACTATTATATCTACTACTATGCTGGCAACAAAAGTTGAAAAAATAAACTGGTCAAAAATGTATAACAATGCTTCATCTAAGAGAACACTAATTACTGCTTAGAAGAAATTATTTAACAGTGAAAAGAAAAAAATATTTTCTCATTTTCATTAGCTAATCATTCAGTGCAATATAAAAATTTCTTCTTTGTTATTTTGATATCGAAATGGCCTGCTATGTGATATCTCTCCTCATTTATGACAACGAATATTGAAAAATCTCCTCAAAGATGAAAAAGAGACTCAAGGCAATAGAGGAATTGTTTTACAGAAGCATGCTGAGGATACTATGGAATGAACATGTGAGCAACAATGAGGTTTTGGTGAGGATGCAAACAAAGAGGAAACTTATATTTAACATCAGGAAGAGCCATCTGAAATTTCTGGGACACATAATGAGAAAGGAGGGCTTGGAAATTCTGATACTCACAGGGTGGATAGAGGGAAAGAAGGACAAGGGTTAGCAATGCGTGCCATAATTAATGGGATTAAGCAAGTCAATGACAGAACAGGGTCTGGGAGAAATAACAAGAAGTCAAAACTCATTGAGGGCTACAAGGGACGGAAAGAAGTGGAGAGCCATGATCATCCTAAATCCTGAAGGGACATGACACATAAAAGAAGAATCAGCATGCATTATTTATTAAAAATATCACACCGAAAATAGGGCTAGTAAAAACAAAAGCTATTAGATAAGGAACACTTGGATTTTATCCTGTCTTGTGAACATCTACCATTTGTGAAATAAATACACTTTTATGCTATAATCAAGGAATTTGGGGTTTGAGCATCTCAAAAGATTGGAACACAGGATTCAATCTTGGTCGCATAATGGAATATAATTTAATGGTTATAAACTGCGTCTAGAGATTATATGTAAGTTATGAATTGGTATAAAGAGTTGCATCTTTAATGTTAAAAGTCCTATTATGATGATGTTTAGATTCTACTCAATATTATTAACTTAGATATATAGTGATAGAGAAAACTATTGTTTTTGGTTGGAAAAAATTTAACAAAACAGACTAATTTGACTGTCAATAGTTTATTTGCAACTATTTATTTTGATACTTTTACATTATTATACCTTGTAAAACTAATGTAAAAAAATAATATGAAAAGATTTTAGAACAAATTCGTCAATTTCTTAAAGGAAAAACATAAAAAAAAACATTTATTTTAAAAATAAAAGATATATTAACAAAAAATAATAAGAACCTCCTAAAATTTATTGCACAAATGCTCCTTTCTTTTCAATAACTCTTAGCAGCCTATTGTCAATATCTGATGTTAGATTTGCAATTTTAGTGGCTAAGTTGCTTGCAGCAACTTTAACAGCCTCCCAGAGGTCACACTTGCTGTTGAATTGCCTTCCATTAGAATAAATATCTCTCTTGAGGATGCTCCACAGGTTATCAATGGGATTCAAGTCACAGCTATTTGAAGGCCAGTCCATAAGAGAATCTTCAACAAATCCCTTTTCTTTCAACCAGGATTTAGTAAACTTTGATGCATGACTTGGTGCATTGTCTTGCATAAAGATCATAGATCTATGCTTGGCTAAAGACTGGTTATCAAGCTATTCAAAGAAATATTGCTCGAGAAAATCACAGTAACTTTTGGAATTTATTTTAACCCGTCTTTCAGTTTAAATGGACCCACAAGCTCATTACCAATAATCCCAGCCCATATCATGATCCCACCGCCCGCCTTGTTGGCGTTTAAAAATTTTTCTTGAGTCATGTTGCTTGCAAACCCATCCTCGAGCCCATCCATTGGGCCCATTGAGGGGTGATCCTTGATTCGTCTGTAAAAGCACTTTACTGAAATCAGTTTTTATGTATTTTTTTTGGCCTACTGCAATCTTCTTTCCTTATGTTTTTTTGTTAAAATGGGTTTCTTTATTTGATTTTTTACATCAGCAAACTTCCTTAATGCTTTACACCTTGTTTCCCTTGACACCATAGGAGCTCCAGCGGCCTCAAATATGAATGCACTTGATGCATTTGGGTTTCTTATTAATTCTCTTCGGATATGTGATAGATCTCGCTTTGTTAAATTCCTGAATTCAGCCTGAGACTTTTTTTTCCTTGGTTGAATTCCCATTTGACGTATTTTCTTGATTGTTTGATGATCCCTTTTCAAATCCTTAGAAATTTGAAGCGAAGACTTTCCTTTGCTAATTTCTTTGATTATATAGTTCTTTTCATTCATTGTTAGTTCTTTTTTAGGAGCCATAATACTAAATTCTAGTTCTTGCAAATAATCTCTTGACACTGCAAATTGCTATAATTACTGAAAAAGTACTAAATATGAATTTTACATAAAATATTTGACAGTACCTCTTTTGCATATAATCTCTAGATGCAGTTTAGTGAAATTAGTTTCCATATAAAGAACATTCAGCAATCATTGACCGATCGACCAGTTAGTGTTACTTTCAGTTGACATTTATAAAATCTTTCTCTTAAAACACTTTTCTTTTTTTTTTCTTCAAAAAATACTTTTCTTGTTTCCGCTATCTGATGGAGATTTCTTTCTTGACCTTTTGTTTGAAGTTGTGTGTAAAGTCAACATCTTGATTATGCCATTATTTTCTCTTCAAGTTACACATGCTATCCATTGTAGTTGTTGCAGCTTTTGGAAGACTTCCAGTGATGTGGTCTTTGTTAATTGTTAATGTTCTTTATTAACATTTCTGTATTTCCATCCTGTGAAATCCAGTGAAGTACATTCCTCTCTAAGACCACTGGGCTTATTCACTAGAAGGTATTTTTAATCATTGATCTGAGAAAATGGTTGTATATAGCTGATAGTTTAGACATTTCTTGATGAGTCCAATGCCATCTGAATGAGAGACTAGATCTGATGAGGTTATTTAAGAATGTGGATTTTCATATCAACAGCACTTTAACATATACATAGACACACATGCACACACATACACATTTTGTTCAAGGTTTTCTCCATTTTCCTTTTTATGAAATAATGCATCAGTTTTTTTTTTTTTTTTTTTTCTGGCTGGCTTCACATTTTTCTGTTTGCTGACTCCCAAAGCTGGATTGAGGTAAATGTATTTGTAAAGGTGTAACTTTTTGTTGAAATTACAACAAACTTAAACATTTATAAGTTTTTATCAAATGTTGAGTATGGTTTTTCGAAATTCTCAAAATGCTTGTTTGAGTCAAAATGTTAGAATGTCATATTCAGTTAATCAAAGTCTGAAAAAATCTGGTTATAGATGATCATGTAAGTATTGTAATATCCAGTGATAATGGTGAGATTAGCTGTT